TCTAGTGGGTTGTGGTTGGTTAACAACACCAGAACGTGGTTGGTTGCAAGCATCAGACTGTGGTTCAACTTCACTCTCCTCTAGAATCTCGCAATCATCATCGGGAATAGGTATGGACCTACTAGACCCAATGTTAGCGTACACGGGTCTAACAAAATCACCCTTGGCTTGATCATCACCCATGATAACTTGTAAATTTTTGAAGTGAGGAAGGGGTTTGTTTATGTATGCTTTGTACTTAGAATTGGATTTGTCCTGCAATAATAAATACTTATAAATCCAGAGAATCAAATGTATTAAATTGAATGTGACAAGATAGATGCTGAATTGTTATACCTGGGCCCAAGATTTCAAGGTTTCCTCATCCAATGTAATCATTTTACTTGTTTCATCCCACCCAGCACCACTTATATCAAGGCAAGCTTTCATGTCATTGAATTTGTTCCGCAAACATTTCAAGTGGTTAATGACATGCAGGTGAGTGAAATCAGTCCTGAATTGCATGTTGATTTTCATGGCAGCCATTTTATAAGCTTCAGCCTTGAAGTTCTTGTCTGGCTTCATGCCATCCAATGCTAAATCTGCAAGATAAGGAATAAGCACATCATCGTGCTCTGGAAGCCAAAACTTATTAGCCACGCCTCTTGAGTTTAACCTGGTACACGAAACTTTTTTTTATGGGCTAATCTTTTCCCTCTTTTCAATGGCGAAGTGTGCTCCGCACCATCAACGTCATGAATATCCTTTCCAACTGAATCACCGGTGTTCGGTGAAAATTAATTAGGCCCACTACTTTGAGAACTGGCTGTGGGAAACATCAAACCTTGTGGACTGCCTAACAAGCTCATGTATGACATTGGCGGCTGTGTCATCCCACCATAATTACCATCCCATGGTGGGAATGGTGAGAAAGTATGCGGAGGTGAGGTGAATGCCTGTGGTCGAACAGGCATGTAGTTCATGTTAATCCCTGATGTAGGACTTGGCATTGCATTCGAATGAGAAGGCACGCTTTGCTTATCTGCCGGATTGTTAGCCATACCTAATATATTTTGTAAGCATAGCCATATTAACAATAAAGAAATTTAAAACAATATGGGATATGTATGCATTTAGCAGGGAATATAGTAAACGATGATATTTCTAGTTCAAACAACATAACAAAATAGCAAGTGATAAAAGTAGTAATGGTTTGTTACAAGCAAAGAAACAATAAACGATATCAATGCGAACAGTATGTTAAAATTCACCAAGTTATTACATAGCCATAGAACAGATGCTACACTAAGTTAAACCGCTCTCCATTGTGTTACCACCATTGTACTTTGCACAATAATCCACCCACATCGCCCAAGCAATTTGATCTCGTAACTCCTTCCATTCATTTCTAACATCTCGATCCTCTCTTTGTGACCTACTTTGAGTATAGTCCATCACATTTGAATCGTCCTCATTTGTCTCTTCCCCAGTATCTTCATCAATTTCAACATTTTCATTTAAAATATCATCATCCGGATCCTCCAAGGCAATAAAGTTGTGCAACACAGTACACGCTAGTACAATGTCCACTTGAGTGGGAAATGGATAATTCGGCTTCCCCGCAAGAATTTTAAACCGATTCTTCAGTATCCCAAATGTGCACTCAATTTTTGATCTTAAAGATGAATGCCTTAAATTGAACAACTCCTTCCTATTCTTTGGTGTCCTACCGGTGTGCTCTTTTAAATGATATCGGACACCGCGATACGGGGATATGAAACCTGGCATTGTGGTGTATCCAGCGTCACATAGGTAATATTTACCTACATTAATTAAACAGTATTTTAAAATCTCAAATATTGCCAAGTATTTAATATATTATTCATAATGTGCACAAGTGAGAATGAATACCATCGTAAACTCGGAGCCCGTAAGGCTGTGGCCTAGACAGGGCGTCTTGTAATACCCTATAATCATTTGCTGCCCCCTCCCAGCCAGCCAAGACATAAGTAAATAGTTTATTGGGGGTGCAGGCTGCTAAGATGTTTTGGGTGACCCCTTTTCGCCCTCTAAACCGTGCAACTAGGTCACTAGGTAACACCGCGTCGACGTGTGTGCCATCTATCAAACCAATGCAGTCCTATAAAAAATTATAAATTATACATAGTTAAATAAAAAAAAGTTTATTTGGAAAATTATTAAGTTGTATGTATTTAATTTACCTTAAAGTACGGAAAATAATTTGAGTTGTTTGCAATCTCCTCAGGAACTTCTTTTGGGGCTTGCTTCATGTACCGATCACGTAATCCATTCATTGCTTGCAAGACTTTATTGAAATACCTGCTAACTGTTTCCCCTGATCTTATGAACTCAGTTCTTATTATTCTATTTTTAGTTTTGTGCCCTATAATACTCAGGAACATAGCAAGCTGTTCTTCAACTTGAACGTGTCTCGTATCTTTTAATAAACCGTTTGCTTTCATTACTTCAACAAGTTTAAAAAAGACCCTCGGTCTCATTCTAATATAAGATTGGCAGCTATCTTGATAGCCCTCCAGTACACGTCTGAAATGAGCCTCTCTACAATATATTTTCCTGACCCTTTCTTGCTGCGAACAATTTGGTATTCTCTTGCGCTTAGCACGCATTCTCAAAATACATGTTACTAAAGTGACCACGGCGCAGACAGCTGTATTAGCACACATCCTCTTCAATTCTTCCTCATCTTCCATATCCATCTACAACCGTTTTAAAATTATCATACAGTTACAGCTTAAGATGGCTACTTATATCTTGTCAAAATTAAGTAGATAATTGATACAAATATTTATTTATTTTAAAGCAAGAAATTCTAATTGAAATGAAAATTATTTTAACTAATGTTGCATTCCATCTCACACAATTCTAAACAAGCAAGATAGACCCAAAACAAACAAACTATATGGTTAGATTACTAATAATTTACACGCACACAAAAAAATAAAATAAAGTAAAAAAAAAACAGCAATTTAAGTTATTAAAAGACTGATTTGAAACATATTATGAAATTAATCTCTACACAACCTAACAACCTAATTCTTGCACATTTATAAAAAATCCACTACACAGATACCCGCATGAATTGTTTTGCTGTAATATTATGAAATTAATCGCTTAAATCATTGAAATTGCTATCAGCCTCTATTTCTCATATGCTTCAAAATTAAAATTAATTCCTCAAATCACTGGAGAAATAAGCCAAAGTAAGAGAGGAAAATTTTTATACCTTACTGCAGAGGAGGGAAATGCCGACGTTCAAGCAAAAAACCCACCGAAGTCAAAGAAAACACCGTAGCCACACTCCAACCAGAACAAGATCGAGAAAGAGGCCCGAACCCAAGTTGAAGAAGACCCCAACCAGAAGGGATCACCAAGAATCGAAGGCAAGAAACCCACCAACAAGCTCGTGGAAAACAAAGCTAGGGTTTCGAGAAAGAGGCCAGAACCCAAGTTGAAGAAGACGAAGCGCAGGAGCAGAGGCGCGAAGAAGAGGGCGATGAGGCGGGAGCGGAACAGCGATTCCAGATCTAGGGATCAAAATCGTGAAGATGAGGAATCGGAATCGACGACATAGCGCCCTGTCAGAAATCTCGCCCAAATCCGAACCCAACGCTCGGATTTGAGTTTCTATAAAAAACGACAACTGTAGCTACTTTATGGAAATTGTAATCCCAAAATTTTTGCTGAGCCAAACTCCAGAATAGGATTCACAAAGAATCCAAAAATTATGAAAATGTCACTGTCAGAGCCCAAATACTAATCCTATTCTATAAAAGGGTGAAACAAACAGGCCCTTATCTTTTCCAATACATCACTTCACCAGCTACAAGCTACATGCATCAAGTCTAGCTAATCAATGTCCTCTCCTTTCACTATGATGTAAGTATAAAATCATTTTTTTCTACATGACAAAATAAAGACTGATCAATTGAAAATTATACTAAAAAGAGACCCAGACCAAATGATTTTAAGAGGGCAACATGATCTTCCGCTAACTTTTATCTTCGGCAACAGTCATCATTTGCTTAGATTTTGATGCGAAAGGGGTTCTACAATATTTTCAAGAAGACAAAAAAGGTTATTATTAAGGGATATATATGAGAGAAAACCAAGAATATGCCTTTATGTACAAATCTTACCATTTTTTTTTCTATAAAAGACGGAGGGTTTTGAAATGAAAAGATAATGACAAGGGTGTTTCTAATTAGTGATCAACCATGAAGGGAGTTTCATCACTCAAAAAAAAAAAAAAAAAAAACAAAACTCGTGAGATCTTTGATGACTATTCATTTTTGGATTATGAAACGTGCATGTTAGAAATATTAAATCTACATGATGACTTATTGATGTTTAGGATTTTAAAAATTTGTGTATAGGTTATACGAATGATTGAATCATTAATTAATATTGAGAGTTGAATGTGTTTTTTCACATGCGTGTGTAACGATTTCAATTGCACATGTGTATACCATAATCTTACTATATATTAATAAAAACAATAATAGGGTATAAGTGTTTCTGTGCATCGAATATGTACATAAAATATGAACGTAAAGATTGCTAAAGTAGTATAATGTGTGGTCCATCAGAACACTCCGCACGCCACAAGAGTGTTTTGATGTCACTTATAGGAAATACGAGGGAGTAGATTGCGAAATTTTCATTCCTATGTAATGGGGCGCATGTAGGAAGTTCTAAGAAATTTTGTATGAACGAGTCTTTTTTTTCACCTTCTATTTTTTAAAGTTTAGTTCTGTTTTAAGTGGTAAAGTAATACAAATGGCGAGGACATTTGTTGGATTTTTAAAAATGATTCAGATATTACTACATTTTCCTAGATTTTGTGATCAAAAGAGAAATAAGCAATTAGCTCAAATGCACAGGGGTATTTTCGGCAACCTACATCACCTTCAGGTCCGGATCTCCCAGCGCAGAGATGAGATGCACATCTCCGAACATATAAAACGCCTCTCAATTCCCGAGAAAATAAAAAAGAAACGGCCTTCTTCTCTCACTCTCTCCTCTCATAAACTCGATCCCTGATCTCTCTCTCTCTCTCTCTCTCTCTCTCTAGAATTCTCATGGCGGATCAGCTCACCGACGATCAGATCTCCGAGTTCAAGGAGGCCTTCAGCCTCTTCGACAAAGACGGCGATGGTAAGATCCCTCGATCTGATCTGATCCGATCCGATTTCGTCACTCCTTTTTAGAGTTTGTTCAGATTTTGGCGTTGGTCTTGGGTTTCTATGTGGCTAATATTGTTGGATTTGTGTGCCACGGTTTGGATACTGTAGATTTACTGTTTGATTGGATAGATCTGAAGATGTAGTTGATTTGTAGCTGGTTTGTGAGCTAAGCTGGAATTTTTTTGAAAAAAAAATCAATATTTTATGTGGACCGGGGACTATGAATCTCTCTTATTTTAGAAAGGTGTAAATTGGGAGTTTAGATAGGTTGTTCGTGCTGCATTGATGGAATATAAAGTTAAAGACTCCATAGCGAAGTACAGAGTCTGTGGCTAACTTGTGTGCATTTAAATTTGTGTATGCGTTTTAATAAGGCGGATTTAAGACTTTTAATTTGTCAATTTATTTTAGGAAGTTGACTCTGGGTGTCTACCTTTTTCGTATGCTGCGGAACTTAAAGTTGGGAGCACAAAATGGTTATGGACGTAAAATCAAAGGGTATTTCTCTTTAGGATAGAGATGGCCAACGGGGCGGGTCGAACCGTTTCGACCCTCCCAAATTCGTCCCGTGAACCCGTACGAACCTGATTCAAACAGGTATGAGACAGGTATAGACTTGACTCGTTTATGAGACGAGGTAACCCAACTCGTCTCGTGAATAGTAAACGAGATGAGTCGACTCGTCTCGTCATGAGTAACGAGTCACGAGACGAGTTGGGTTGGAAATTTATCCCAACCCCCAGTAGTAATTTTTTTATTAAAAAAAGCCATTCTACACAAGTATTGCTTAGATAAGAAAATTGATGATCAGCCCAAAAATTTTAAAAAAATTTAAAGGCCCCTAACGGCTTAAAAAAGAGAGAGGTTGTGAAATTAATAGGTAGTCCAAAAATTTTTTTAAGGCCCCTAACGGCTTAAAAAAGAGTCATTGGAGAGTGAGAAGTTGCCCAG